TCAATTGCCAGTGACAAATGAAGTATTATTTGTTAATCAACCCTTATTACAAATACAACCACCAAATGAAGCTTTAAGTTCAAATGATAATTAATCTAAGAAAAAACTATTTTTAGTTATTTTTGGAATATTTTTGTTTTGTTTTAAAATATGTTTGTGGCAATAAATATATAAAATATTTATATGATGCTTTTATTTTATAATTTTATGTATGTTTGTATACAACTGTTTATATACAGCTGTACTCTAGAGTGATTCAGAATTGTGGAATTAAATGTCGAGAGATATGGGTTCTTATACTCAAATGTCTTCTATTATTGCACTGAAGACCTCTTGACATTTCATCCCATGATTCTGAATCACCCTGTATATGTACCAAAAAAACTGTTAAATATTACTATAAAAACTAGTTAATATTTACTAAAATTTATAGTAAAACATACCAAATAAAATATAATTTAAAGAAAAAAAAAAGTAAATCTTATAAAAAAATATAGTTAAAATTATTATACCAAGATATTTATTACTAATATATTGTTTTTTAAATATTACTATAACATTTTAATACAAGCTAACATAATATTTTTGTACAAATTACTAGAAGGCATATATTAAAATTAATTATATTTATATATTTAAAAAAAATCATACAATACAGGGTGTTATGTAATTAATGTTATATGTTAAAATACTGAATACCTTTTGACATAAGGTGTAATGGAAAAATATTTTAAAAGATATTTTCCCAAAGATAAAGAAAATATATGCATTAGAAGTTTTTTATATTTTTTGTGATACGCCACTGGTTACACACTTGTGTTCTGTCAGTACATAGATACAAACCAACAAAGTAGCTGCGCGTTGCCAGTTGTAAAAAAATTGTTACTTAAAAATTTTCTTGCAAAAAATAAATAAAAACTCAATAAATACAAAAGTTTTATGCCCTTAAAGCTCTAATACCATTCTGTATTTATTTACTCATCCAGCTATTTACTTAAGCAATGATAAGAAAAATTAGTACCTACCTATTTAAAAACTCCATAAAATTAATTTTTTCATCGGTTTTTTTCTTTCTGTTTACTCAGATGAAATTAGGACAAGTTCACAGGTTAATCGTTAAACATTCAATTTGTGTAAATAAATCCAAACTCCCAAAATCACTTCCCTTAGTTAAGATATTTACAATTTGAGCACATAACCTACAATTTTTTGACAGTGTTACCAACCATAACATAATAAATTAAATTGGACAAAGTAAATCATTACGAATTATGATTAAAGTTTAAATCTGGTGTGTCTAAATTTAAATATATTTTTTATAAGTATGCTTTTAAATCACAATGTTAAAACGATTTTTAAAAAATCATTAGTTTACAAATTTTTACAAGGTCTTATTCTAAAATCTAGCGATTTCAGGTTTTTATTTTTTTTCAAGTTTTTTCAGGTTTTTATTCTTTTATAAATATTTTGAAAGTTTGAAAATTTGTATTTCAGTTGTATAATCTGTGTTGTATTTTATTAGTAATAATAATAAGTAATTTGTGCGAAAGATTTTATGCTATGGCGGGTCGGGCGCTCACAAAATTAAATTAACAAATGCTCGTCAAGCAAGAATTTTGTATACACACTAGGGTGTCCCGAAAAAAAAAATATTTTTTTTCTTCTGGTCTTTTGTGAAAATATGTTGGATTGTCATGTTTTAAGAGCCCTGTCAAAAGATCAGCACCATTAAAAAATTTTTAGGGATCGCTCAAGATTTTTAAAAATTACCAAAATCGTCAAAAATTGGATTTTTTTTAATTTTAATTTTTTTTCTCGTTCCGATATTATTTTTTAATTTAAAAATAATAATGATTCTGAAAATTTCAAATCGATATTATAATTTCTAAAGGTCGCTCAAGATTTTTTTAACTTTCAAAGTAGAGTATTTTGAATGTTTTCGAGCGACCTCTGAATATAAATATCAACGAACTTTTAGCGACCTTTAGAAATCAAAATAATGATTTGAAATTTACAGAATTTTTATTATTTTTAACCTAAAAAATAATATGGAGACGAGAAAAAGAATTAAAATAAAACAAAAATTCAATTTTTGACGATTTTGAAAATTTTTAAAAATCTTGAGCGACCCCTACAAAATTTTTAATCGAGCTGATATTTTGAAAGGGCTCTTACAGCATGATAAACTAACATATTTTTACAAGAGACAAGAAAAAAATATATATTCTTTTTTTTTTGGACACCCTAATACACACAACCAAACTTATATGGAATCACCCAGTATTAATACGGAATATTCGTTTATTTTTTTTTTGGCATAGGCGATAAAAAAGTACATGGGTTTACTAACAAAAACAGGTAGATAAACAAAATAACTTTATAAGATTTGTACTGGCATTGTCGAATTTACTGTTTCGCTTGCAAGTCGCATTGACTTTATAATTTATTTCTTTTCGCAAATTTTAAAAAAATGCCGTACGTGGGGCTATCGGAAGTTCAGAGGGGAAGAATTATTGCTTTGGCAGAACAAGGCATGGCCCAAAGGCAGATTGCAAGAACGGTGGGGGTTACACAAGGGGTTGTGTCAAAAACCTATTCAAGGTTTCTGGAATTGGGAACCCTAAATAATAGACAGAGAAGAAGTCGTGGAAGAGTAACTACAGAAAGGCAGGATCGCTTTTTAGCTCAAATAGCAAGAAAAAATCCTACGACATCTCATCCAGAGCTTCAAAGGCAACTTTTACAAGCTACGGGAATTATTTAGCAGAAGACAGTTGAGAGTTCCAGAACTTTCAAGACAAAATAAAGCTGACCGTTTAAATTGGTGTTTGGAGCATAAAAATTGGACTATTGAAGATTGGAGAAATGTCTTATTTTCCGATGAAACCAGAATCGGCCTACGATCCGATGACCGGCGAATTCGCGTTTTAAGAGGTAGAGGGAGACAAGCTAGACTCCGTGTTGCCAAATCTATCCCAAAATACCAAGGAGGTACTGTAATGTTTTGGGGTGGAATTATGGTTGGTGAAAGAACTCCTTTAATTCCCATTCGACAAAGCCTAACAGGTCAAAGGTATGTTGATTTAGTTTTGCAACCTGTAGTCAGGCTCTGGCGAGGTGGTTTTGGCGATTTTTTTTTATTTATGCAAGATAATGCACCTCCACACACCAGTAGAGTTGCAAAATTTTTCTTCGAAACGGAAGGTGTTGCAGTTTTGGAGTGGCCTTCTTGCTCACCGGATCTTAATCCTATAGAGCACTTATGGGATAAGATCAAAAGAAAGATTAGAGCTCGTCAAAATAACCCTGGTAACACAGAGCAACTTATACAAGCGGTTTTAGAAGAATGGGTAAATGTCCCCCAAGAAGACATTAACAATTTGATAGTTAGCATGCCTCGTCGATTTCGTGCATCGATGCATCGATGCTAGAGGTGGCAATACTGATTATTAAAATTATTTAAATAGCATTATTTCTTGTTAAATTGCCATTTTCAGAAAAATTATTTTTATAGAAATCTACACTTTTTGTTATTTGTTCTGGTATTAAGAAAATTGTAATAATTTTTATTGAATTTGAATTAAATTATTATAAAATATTTCTTGTTTATATTTTAAATTGACGTGTAAGTAATTTTAAAGAAATATTTTATAATAATTTAATTTTCGTTTGTAATAAATTGTAGAGTCCCCTGATGATGGCCTAGGCCGAAACTAGTAGGGATATAAAAATAATAAATATAATTGCAGAGAATTGCCCTTTTTATTCATATATGTTAATAATTGATTCTTTGGCGTAACGCAATTATTTCTAAAACGACGAATGATTGCAGTTGTAAACTAAATTATTTATACCTATCTTTAGGACACTCCAATTGAATCGCTTATTTGAGGAAGGGACTAACTAACATTTTCGGCCATTTTGAGTTTTTCTAATCATCGTCTTTCTATAAGGTAAACGCATCTTTTAGTGCAAAAAAGGATCATTTTCCATAAGTACAACGTCCGTAAATTCGTAATTCTCGGCGTTTATTTGCGAAAGGTACCAACTGACATCAGTTAGGACCTTTCTCATATAAATGGCTAGACCAAGCGTCAGCGAGGTTATATCAGCTGTCAGTAGAATTTACCTAGAAACGTTGTCATAATATTGTTATTCCAAAGCGTGAAGTTATTGTATTTATTAAATAAATAATAATCATGAGCGATACCGACAACAGCCAGTCAGAAAGCTCAGTAGAAGAGGCTACAAAGAAAAGAAAAAGAGGTGTTATAAATGACGAAAATTACCAAAGGAATGTTATTAAGAAGTCCAGAGTACAGGGAAAGGCTTACGTTAATTACAAGGGAAATGCTGTAGCAGCAAGACAGCTTGGAGATGGATATCGGTAAGTTTGAAGACAGTCAATTCTTCCGATTATTATGTACTGATCATTCATCTTTTCTAGTTGCCCAATGAAATGCTTTGAAAAATTGAACGATGATAAGAAAATTGAACTTCTTAATCGGTTTCATTCGCTTAACTCTAAAGATGATCAGGACATATATTTGCAAGGCCTTTTAGAAGTAGTTGATGTTAAAAGAAGATCTAAACCACAAAATCCAGAGAACGCAAATGAAAAAACTTGTTCCTTTCATCATTATGTGCCCATTGATGGCAAGCGAAGAAAGGTGTGTCAAAAGGCATTTCTTAGTTTGTTCAGTGTTGGTATTAAAAGATTTAGGCCGGAATTCACCAAATTCGCTGAAACTGCCGTTTTCAAAAACTTCGTTTTGCGGAAACCAATAAGTCAAAACGAAGTTTTCCTTTAACTGTATTTACCAGTGTGTGAAGTGTGTCTACCAAACTAAGTTTTATGAAACTGCGTTTATTTCGATGCACAGTTTGGCAACAGCGAAAATACAAAGAAGAAGAAGAAAATGGTAGGTTATGTTATGTTGTCAACTTGTACGAAATTTTTATTTGTATAAATTTTTGTGATATATATATATAAAACGAAAATGGATAAGCAAGGTGATGGTGAAGGGCCAAGTAAGAAGAGGAGGGTAGTAACATTTCAGCCTGCGGAAAGAATTTGTTTGGTTGATCTTGTTCAAAAATACTTTCAAGTTGTGGAATGTAAAAAAACAGACGCATGTTCTTCCAAAGCGAAATGGCAGCAGTGGAACGTAATAGCCGAAGAGTTTAATTCAAAAGCAATTTATATTGCAAGAGAAACCCAGGCTTTAAAAACAGCCTGGGAAAATATGAAAAAAAAGGCGAAAAGCATCATAACAAAAGAAAACCAAAACCGACTTGCAACAGGTAAGGCTTTACGCTTTACTATGTTTGGTACCTGATTAAAACTACATTTATTTTCAGGTGGAGGCCCTTTACCTGTACCAGAGAAAGGAGATGCTGCAGTAGAAAAGATTATAACCCTGCTTCGGCCAGTAGTGCAAGGTTTAGAAAATGATCTAGACTCAGATAGTAGGGAGTTACTTTTTATTCAATTGTTATATTATCTCTTATTTTAACTTCATAAGCATCCCCTTAATGTGATTGATTGCAGATGTTTATGGTATAACTTCTGAGGATATTATAGAAGAAACGGATAGAGTTAATGAGATGGCACTGGATAAGCATGATTCTTCTAATGTGGTAAGCATACTTTTGCAGTTGTAGGCCAATTGTTGACACCTTTTTTTAAGCTTTTGGTAGATAGTGTGGAAGGAAACTCAGCAGTGGAAGTGGAACTATCGGGAGATTGGAGCTACTATACCACCTCTATGCTCAGGGCTCCACGAAGTAATATTCTTCAATCAATTTCTGCTCCTGCTCCTTTGGCTGACTCTCAGGACTGCAATAACTCCACTGCTCCACAGCCATCAGGCAACCTAACCCCAAGGCACAACAATGCTAAAGCTAACAGAGGTACCAGACACCTTGGAGGGTCAAGTCGACGACGACCTTTCTTAAAGCAACCAGAAGCCGAGCGTCTAGCCCAAGAAAAACTCAAAATTCTTGCATGCACTACTGAACAAGCCACCGAGGAGCATAACATTATGATTCGAATCCTCCTACTTCAGGAAGAGCAGGAGAAAGAAAAATTAAAACATGAAAAGCTAAAGACTTTCCAGGAACAAGTAAAATTGCAGCAGGAAAAATTAAAGCTTACATTGCTGGAACAAAAAGAAAATGAAGTGTTAAGTTAATTTCTATTAGCAAACCTTTTTTATATTTTAAATATTCTCATTAAAATCACCTAAAAAATCATTTAAAAAATATAGTTACCAAAAAAAAACTTCTTAAAAAATATTAAATAAATACACAATGTAGAAATAAAATAATTTATTTATTCCTCTATTTATTTATTTACAATCTAAATTTATCAACATCAATTATATTATATATTCTCAACATCAATTATAATAATATTATATATTATGTTATATATTATATTATATTTATATAATAATTATTGCCAAAACACTTCCAAAATAAATTATTGTCAAAATAAATAATAAAGAATATAATGATGTGGATTTTGGTTGGGTCGGTTATAAGCATGATACTACATATGTAGTATCATGGTTATAAGATATGGGACCCTCACAATGTTTATGTACGTTAATATTTGTATCAAACTAACAAGTTTTTCTCAATCAGAATTTGTGGTAACTTAAAAAAATAAAAATTATTTAAATTTAAAAATTGAACTATGTTCTACTAAAAAAATATGAACAAATTTAAAATTTCATTAAAAAAATATAATAAACATTTTATAGTAGTTGGAACATTTTAAAACGTTTTTAAAAGTACTATGTAATTTTTTTAATAAATTTCAAAAGTTTTCAAGTCTTTTTAGCAGAACATTTTTACTATTTAAATTTTAATTTTTTATTTTGGTAAAAGTTTGAGCTGCTAAAAAAATATTTTTTTTGCAAACTTGGATTTGAGTTCTGATTGCGCAAAACTTATTATATTATCCTACATAATATCTTAAAATCGAAATTTAGCCCATACAAAATCTGGATCCTTCAATATATCGATAAGTTTATCCATTGTCCTTATCAATAAGTTTATCCATCGAGACAATGTAAAATATAAATATATTAAGATTCTTCAAAAATAGTCCAGTTTCCTAACTTGGCTACCCCTTTTCATACATTGTGCCTTGCCCTTTCAGCTTGTTGCTGTCTATTACGCAACTCCTGCTGAGCCAGCCTACAAAAATATTTAAAAAAGTCTTGAGAATGTTGTAAAACTTGAAACTATAGTTGACAAATATAAAAACATAAGTAAAAAATATCGAAGAGAAGTTTAATTTCATCCAATGGTTAATTTAATATAAATGTATCCAATTAGCCATTTTCCAGATATATGAAGGCATATGTGCATCAGAATTATGATTCCACATGTACAGCATCAGCTGCCGCCAATCGTTAAGAGCAACATTACGGAAACCGCAAAATATTCTAAAAATAAGAGGGAAATATGCCAGAAACCCTGTAAACTGTTTCCAACAAATTTCTCTCATGTTTTCAACAACATTAAAATGTTGCCGAAAATTGTTTCCGTCAACTGATGCTGTACAGGTGCAATCCTAATTCTGAGGCATATGCCTTCGTATTTCTACAAACTGGCTGCAAGCATGCTTGGTTGATTGGGTAAAGTAGTTTTTATTTAAATATTATGCAAATTGCATTGGCAAAGTATGAAAAATAGGTTATTACTTACCCAGCAAAATAGTTGTCAAGAAGGGCACGACGCCATCGGTGGTTCGGATTTTCCCTCCTGGGAGCAGCCTGCCCTGGAGGATCATTATCCATCTGCCCTTGGGCTAGGAGAACATCCCATGGAGCAGGAAGATGGAGTCTGGGATCGTCTTGTGGAACTTGCTCTCCTGCTCTGTGAGCTATATTGTGGAGAACAACTGTTGCAATTAAAATAGCAAAGGAATTCGGGACAGAAACCCGTAATCCGATAGCCATTGCTGGGAAGCGTCTCTTCCAAATTCCAAACAAGCGTTCAACTGGGTTTCTTGTGCGGATCTGAGATTCGTTGAAAAGGTGTTCAGCAGCAGTGTTACAGTTGTCAAAAGGGGTCATCATGTAACGATTACATGCATACCCGCTATCTCCTACAAGCAAAGCATCCCCATATCTCCCTTGTTCAAACATTGCTCTCCGGTAACAATTACTAAATATGTAGGAATCATGGGTGCTACCAGGCCACCTAGCAACAATATCTGTGAATTCTAGATTGGCATTGCAAATGGCCTGCACATTGAGGGAAAAATATCCCTTTCTGTTCCTAAATACTTCTGCATTATCACCACCTAAATATTATATTTATTTGTCAAAACAGATGAACCTATACTAGGTATCAGTTCTTACCTGGAGACTTGGCAAATTTGACATGAGAGCAGTCAATTGCCCCAACAACTCTAGGAAATCTTGCTTTCTGATAAAAGTCTATCTGTGTTTGACGGATTTGATCATCTGTCTCAGGGAAGAAAACATGAATGGGTCTCAAACGGGCAATGGCATCACTGACTGTGAAATATTCTATGAGCCGTAGGTTGACTAAATCCACCCAGATCTCCAATAGTTACTTGAAAACAACCTGTAGCATAGAAACGCAGTGCACACAATAGCTGATTGATCGGAGAAATGGAGAAATTTCTGAAAATAATTTTGTTTAATGCATTTAAGATAAAGTAATCATTAGCCAATTATAGTACTGTAATTGATTTCAATTAAAAATTCCGCAATTAATCTTACTAAAAAACAAGTATAGGTACTCGATTTGATCCAAAACATATAAAGCCGTCCGTTTGGATAAACGATACCTTATTTCAAAATCCAAATCATCTAAATTATTGATGTGATCCTCTCTTTCTCGAATCCATCTTGGTCGCCGAACGAGGAATTCATCTTCACTATCACTGTCATCAAAAACCATGTCATATATTCGATGCCTTGCTGGGTTCATTGCCGATATGATTTTTTTTACACAAGTATATAGTATTTACAACAAAAAAAACGACGCACCTCACCTCTTCAATATTTTCTGTTATTTGTCACCGCACGTCACCGTCAAAACGTTGTTGTGAGTCGAAAACGCCTACCAAATGGACAGTTTATTCTTAAACGTGGTTTAACAGCAAAACGAAGATTTGGCAGATGGTAAATTTCGTTTCTGGCGAAAACTGCGCTTAAAATATTAAAACGAAGTTTAATACGTTGGTGAATTCCGGCCTGAAGCGTTTGAAAAGCCTTTTAAAACAAAATATAACTCCATACGACAAGCGGGGAAAAAACGTTAAAGGCAATGCCATTTCAGAAGAGAACAACATGCTAATTCGTCAGCATATTAAGTCCTTTCCTGTTAAGGAAACTTACTACAGCAATAAAACCTACCTATACCTTGATGCTAAACTTAATATGAAAATTATGTTTGATATGTTCAAAGTAAAATATCCAACAACCAAAATTCGATATTCTTACTTTGTGAAGTATTTTTATGAGCATTTTGATCTTCATTTTGGCCGTCCACAAGTTGACACTTGTTGCAAGTGTGAAGAACTTGATCTTAAAATAAAAAGTCCTTCGCTTGGAGCTGCCGAACTAGCGGTTCATAAAAGAAGAGCAAAAAAGTTTTATTGGTCACTAAAGCAATCTACTTATGAGTGCAAGATTCGTGACGACTTGGCAGTAATAACTACATGCAAAATTTACACTTACCTGAAGTTCCAGTCCAAGACTTATTTTACTTAACACAGCTAACAGTCAATATTTTTGGTATACACAACTGTAAGACAGACAAGGCATTCTTTTGTTTACCATGAAGGTATTACCAGTAAGGGACCAACGATGTATGCTCGTTTCTGTGGGATTACATTCAACGAGAAATTCCAGAAAATGTCCAAGAATTACGTCTTTATAGTGATAATTGTCCCGGACAAAACAAAAATCATACCATGGTACGTATGTGTGCAGCATTAGTTGATACCAGAGCACAAAAGCAAGCGTTTTCTATATCCCAATTTTACCATTTGATACATAACTCAGAATCACCTGGATATGTTGTGTGCTCAGATTACATTGGAGGTTTGACCAGATATACTTTTCAAATCCATATGCCAAGAAGAGTTGCTCTTAGAATGCCTGAAAAAAAAGCCTCAACAAGAAAAATTCCAATATTGGAAACAAAAAAAAACAGATATCGGTGAAGCGATATCCTACGTTCCAGAGGAGTATCACCCATTCTATCAAGAAATTTTGGCATGGCCACAAAAAATGTCCAAAAAGAGGGCGATTGCACTACAGGTTTAAGTTTGTTAAATTTTTAAATAAATGTTTAATGTTTAAAATATTATTATTGTTGTTATTTAGGTGATTCTTATAAAAACAACTCTTATTTGATGTTTCAAAAATAAATTTAAGCGGTTTCTTGGAAAAAAATAACGTTTATTTAAGAAAGGTACCGTCTGCATTTTTTTCTAATTCCATTTTTTCCCCTCATTATCAAAAAAATACTCGTTTTAATATTGAAAACAACTAAGCTACTGGGTCTTAAAATAATTATGCCAAAAAATGCCATTATCATATTTTTTTTAAACTACCAATAAGTTTTTGTTGATTTTCTTAAAAGTAACAAAATGTTAGTTAAGCCCTTTCTCAAATAAACGATTCAATTGATCTTCGATCCTCACAAGAAGCTGATGCACACAGTTCTTCGTCAACCAACCGTTTTCGAAAAGTGCTTTGGTCGAAGTACAAATGCATTTTATAAATTTGTCGCGGTTAACCGTTTTCAATGAAATCGACCACTTCCATGTCGTCTTCTTCCTCAATTATAACTCATTTATTTTTTTAATAAAGGTGTAAAAAGAGAAGTCAACCTTTCAAAACGACACAATGAGGTTGGACTACTGTTTTTCCAGGCAATGGCGCCTTCTAATTTAAATACTAACCGCCCCACTATTCACCAACCACGGTTAAGTGAATGGTGCAACGAAGTTTTCTGGATTAGCTAATTTAATCAGGATTAAAAAGCTAACCCACGTTGGTGCAAACAGGTACAAGTGTCTATTTAAAAGTGTATGGCCAAAGAATATTTTTGTCATGTTTGTTTTTTCCTTTGTAATTTGTTAATTTTGCCTCTGTCCTGTCGCATTCGCTTCTTTTGTTTACGTTTTGCAGTGCTAAAAGAAGATGATTGGAAATCTATAGCAGATAAATTTTCGACAAGATGGCAATTTCCAAACTGTATTAGTGCTGTAGATGGCAAGCCCATTACGATACAAGCTCCAAAATCATCAGGAAGTCTCTACTGGAACTACAAAAAAAACCTTCTATATTGTGCTTCTTGCTCTGGTTGACCCTCTATATAACTTTATTGTTCTAGACGTAGGAAGCTATGGAAAAAATTGATGGAGGAATTTTATCCAACTTAAATTTCGGAAAAGAATTAGAAAATGATAAACTAAACATTCCGAAGAAGAGAGCCCTACCTGAAACTAATACAGCACTTACACTGGTAATTGTAGGCGATAAAGCATTCCCTGTCAAAACTTACATGATGAGGCCATATCCAGGGAAAAATCTAACAGATGATAAAACAATTTACAACTACCGATTGAGTAGGGCAAAGAGAATATCCGAAAATGCCTTTGGCATTGTAACACAAAAATTCTGAATATTCATGAAAAGGCTTCAAAGGAAACCCGATAATATTACAATGATTTTACTCGCAACGTGTGTTTTATACAACTTCATTAGAAAAAAGGAAGCTTGCTTAAGAATATTGATAATAAAAGTAAAGAAAATACTAATCTGCAGAGAATACCACTCCATAGTGAAATTTTCAAGAAGGCAGGGTTGATTCGCAAGGTGAAGTAGCATTGGCAATATGATTTATTTTTTATTTCAAAACAAAATGGATGTTTTGTATTGTTTAGTGTATTTTTGCATTATTTATTTTATTAATTAATTCATTAATTTTTAATTATTATTATTATATATGTATGTTGTGCTTTGAAATAAAATAACATTTTTGACTTACCTTCTGTTTTTAAATTGGTCGCAATTATTTTCCAAACCCTATCCTTGTAATCGCAGTTGTGATACTTTTCGTGGGTTTGATAGAAGAAAACTGGAAATTTTCTTTTTCTTCTATTAAAATTTCCATTTTTAAGGTTAAAAAACGAGACGAGACCGCACCGTGCCCGTCAAAATATAAACGAAACTAGTCGGACACGGCACGGACTCTATCGGTGCGGCGTAGAATCGGAGAGGTGGGGACTAACGCATTGCTTTACATGTTTTTATTCTTTTCTTTTGTGTGTTTTCCTACTATCGTACAAAGTATGTCTATACCTTAAGCCAAATATTGTTGCTTAGGTTATCTCTGGATTTGTTACACAGGGAATAAGTGAATTTTTTTTTCAAATTGGTAAGTAAAAATAACATTTAAATGTTTATGTTGTGCAACTACACTTAAAACAATTAAAAAGTACAACGGCCATCAATATTTTTATAGAAAAACAGAAAAATATTTTGTTCTTTTAATTTACATTTAAATAAATATCATAACAAGTTCGCTAAAAAAAGTAATACAACTATAACTATTAATTGTACAGTTACAAATTGTTTTTTTTTATACTTAATTTACATTTAAATAAATATCATAACAAGTTCGCTAAAAAAAGTAATACAACTATAACTATTAATTGTACAGTTACAAATTGTTTTTTTTTATACAGACACTTTTACTGATTTTCGAGTACACTGCTATAATCATATTTGAAGTAAAAAAAGTGTCTTGCCTGAAATTTAGGAAAACGTTATAGAATTGACTAAACTTACAGATGTCTTTCCTATTAGCAAAACCCCTTTAACTTTAACTTCAAAGTATGTGTTAGTCAAGAACTACCTACGTGTTCGACTTCAATATCAGTTTATTAAGTGCAAGTGTGAGCAATGACGAAAAAAGTGTACAAAAATCAGAAAAATACAGCTGCCTAAAACTAAAGCAGGCGTTGCCTTCCATTCACAAGTAATTCGAATTGAACAAAATCCAGCCCTATGGCCTATACAATTTAGTATGAGGCAAGCCTACTTAAAGAAAGGTCCAGGTTACTAATGATGAAAAGTTTGAGGCATCAATACGAAAATGTCAAAAACAAAATCGGTCATTGTCAGTAAAACTGTTTAAAAGTGTGTCTTCCGCTTAAGTTCCAGTCGTACGTGTTTGTTTTAGCGCGTCCAGTTGTCATGAATGTTTCTTGTAATGCTATTATGTTTAAATTTAGTGGGATAATGTGTCGTCAATTATTTCCCTCTTGTCTGTTTGCCTACAGCCCCTTACGTTAAGTGTGCCTATTTTTATAGTGTGTTGTTGTGTACTGTTGTCTAAACTTGTCAACCCGTTACCGGTCGATTTTGTTTGCGTGTAATTACCGTTACCGCAGGCTCTTATGTTGGTTGTTTCCTGCCTCTGTTAAGCAAGGCAATGTTGGCAAGATATGTACTATAATGTCGTAGTGATTGTAAGTTCCTGTCATGCCTAGTCTGTAACAAATTGCGATTGACCGGTTGTTATCGTTCTGCCTGAAGGATATCTTGTCTGTGCCCCACTGTTCGTGATGTATTTCGATTGCGACGTTATATATGTCCGGTGCTGCTATTATTGTTTCCAATCCCACCAAGAAGCTGTTTTGTGAGTGGTCCTTTAAGTAAGCCTCTGTTTTACGTTCCCAGTCGTTAATATGCGCGTAACGGTGGGGTTGATCAACGATCGCATCCTGTACATATGGTCTGTATGTCACTATGTGTGTTCTGATGTGGTAGTTCAGTCTTTGTCTTAATGTGTGTGTACTTCCTATTGTTGGCCTAGTCAGGCTATTGTATAGTTGGTGTGCTAAGCTGGCGACTAAGCAATTTCCGTCGGATGGAATTTTAATTATGCCTACTGAGTGATCAATCGTATTGACGATGTCCATGTTTGTTTTGGTTTGTGTTTATTAAGATTTATGGCGTTTATTTATGGGTTTAGTCGAATGTTTATTTGGGGAATGGTGCTAATGTCTAATGTCTGCCTGTTTCTGTTTTGTTTATGTATGATTTATGGGTAGGCTATCCCTATAGGGATCTGTTTATGTTCTGATGCTTAGATTCGTTTTTGGTACTTGCGTTTGAATCGTTTACACTGATTAGGAGTATTCTTGTTAACGACCGTAGCCCAACCTATCACTTCAAGTGTGAACCAAGTGAACCAAAAAAAACTGCTGTTGATATTAATAAGGAACTTAAGGAGGAATACCCAGATGTAAACCTTTCTAATATGACTGTTAGACGTCGCCTAATAAGGGAGAACCTTTATGGAAGACGAGCCGTTAAAAAGCCCTTGTTGACAAAGCGCCATAGAGTAACAAGATTAATGTTTGCTAGAGATCACAGAGACTGTACACAAAATCAGTGGGCTTCAGTACTTTTCAGTGATGAAAGTAATTTTAATATTTAAACCGCCCGATTGGTTAAGAATTGGCTTTCAAATCAAAAAATTCGGGTTTTGGAATGACCTTCACAATCGCCCGATTTAAATCACATTGAGAATCTTTGGATGCACTTAGAAAACCAAATTAGAAAAAGAAAGATCAAGCTTTATGGGCAGTCATTAAAGCCAAGGGGTGGCCATCTAAATATTAAAAAAATATTTTAATTATTAATTGAATAGTATTTTTTTATGTAAACTTTAGAAATGGTTCCATACTTTTGTTCACCATTTTTTAAATAAAAATTTATTTACTAAATATTTTTAAGTGTATACTTGTATGTTTTTAAGGTATGATATTTTATGTCTTATCCCTTAACAAAAAAATGGTATTTATTTTTTTAAAAGTCATAATATATATATATATATATATATATATATATGTATATAAATATTATATATTTAATGTTCATAAAATGTTTTTCATACTTTTTTTTGCCACTGTATATGTATATTAATTGTCACAGAGAGAAGAACGAAATATATTTCAAAATTATATAATTATGTATAAAGCTGACTGTGTATACTAAAATCGCTTAAAAATATAAAAATTGCAATTGAAAAAATAGTACATGTAGTACACGCGAGTGATGGCCATACGCAAAACGTTCATGTTTCAGCTGTGAGAGAAGAAAACTACGAGCCATTTTGTCCTAAAACAGAAAACGACTACAGAATAGGAATTAAATTTTTTTACTAATAAATGGAGCGAAGAGAATTTATTACCCTGCCAAAAATTCACAATTGAAACCAATAAAAGATAGGAAATTGGTTTCAATACGGGTTGCACTCGGCATTTGAAACCGCATTAATATGGATTTTTACGATTCATTTTATAGGATAGGTTTCAATCGGATGCTTACTATGTTGGATATAAGGCGTATTCATGCTCACTTAAAATAAGAAATAAGAATAAGAAATAAGATAAAAGATTAAATTTAAACTGTGTAAAGGAATGGTTGCGTTCATGTTTATGAAAATAAGAAATAAGACTAAAGATTAATAATTTTTAACTTTGGTTCTTATTCTTGCGTATAAAACTGCGCAAAAGGACAAAATAGGTCTGTGAATTGGTTACTGTTGGCGATCGCCGTGAGTGTCGCTGTTGTTTTATTATCTATGGCTGTCGTTTGTTTATGTTTATAATTTGTGTTTTTGAGTAATAAAAGAGTGATTTGTGAATTTAGTTTGTATTGTTGTATGTGTATGTGTAATAATGGATGAAGCCGAACGGATTCGTGTGGTACAGCAGTTTCCATACCTTTATGACAAAAAACACTCCTTGTTCAAAGACAAGATGGACAGGGAGAATTCTTGGAAAACGATTTTTGGTCTAATGAACGACCATCAACAGCACGAAATATTTAGTGCTATTGATGTGGAAAAACGTTGGACTTCGCTGCGGCAAAAATACAGCCAGCAAAAAAAAGAAATAAGGACAATGCCTTCGGGATCAGCTGGAGGTGTGAAGGTTAAGTGGTCGTTTTTTGACTCCATGGGATTCTTGGAGGAATTTGTTCATGCCCGGAAGTAAGTAATAAACACAAACTAAACATTTCATAATAAGCAATTAGTATTTTTGCTTAATGGAAGAATGGCTTTTGATAGGACGTTGTTTGTTAATGAAGTGCCTGTTAGAGTCTGAAGAAACAGCGTTCTATCAAACGTTTTGTATTTATTGCATTGCTTTTTTTAGATGTAGTGGTAATTACCAAAAGGCTGGAACAGATGGCTCACAACCAATGGCAGCAAATGCTGTATCAAAGATGTGGCCCCGTTGGCCGATCTTTGGGAGCCGTTGCCTGAGCTTTGGGATAGCTTAGGAACAATTACCTCAGACAACGTGGCCACAACTGAAGTTACTGAGAGCAAGATAAGGAAAAAATGGAGCCTGTGGCAGGGACCTCTAATGATGCCATTCGTCAACAAACCGGTGGCGTATTGTATTTGCCTCAGCGTTACAGAACCGGCCGTAAATATTACCATGCGATTGGTCACAAATTTCCGCTGCGACGCGAACCATAAAACCATAGCATAACCTGAAACCATAGATAACACATTCGCGTTCCTGGTCTAGTTTCGCGTTTTGGTCTTTGTTTTATTTCACAGTGTTTTATATCCTTTTGTTTAGAATATTAATAAACATGAAGCTATCGTCAATATTTGTTTTTAAAAGTGTTGAAAATAATATAGATAGTTCTACAGTGTACAGAACAAATTTTGTTGGTGAAAAAGACGTACTAAAATGGTTGGATGAGTATTCAAAAAATACAAATAAAAATTGGATTGTTAAAAATGGTGTTTATAATCCCCAAAGGTAGGTTTTGTCTTTAGTCAATACTATAGGTTTTGTAAAATCATCATTTTTTTTTCATTATTTTAGGTTAGTATTTCATAAGTGTTTCGTTTGTCAACATGCAACAAGAAACAAAAAACTAAACAATTCAGAACGAAATACTGGTTGTTTATCAAGTATTGATATTAAAGTTAAAAAGTGTAACAAAGCAACTCGAAAGAATGACATATTTTTAAAAGAAGACCCTCCTTTGGCAGGGCTTGTTAAAATGAATATTACTCATAATCATGCAGCCAATACTTGTGGATCGCTCAAAATGTTAAGACTGGATGATGAAACGAGAAAACAATATATTAGATCTTTTGAAGATGGACTAGAAGTTAGTGAAAGCATAAAACAACATGAAAATAAAAATCTCTTAAACAATGTACCCAATTTGCCAGAAGTGGCAGCTAATGCCCGAGTAAATCCTACATAAAATATGGTCAAAAATATATTTGGTAATTGGAGAAAAGAACATTTTGGTAGTGTAATGGATAGTGTGGCAAAAATAAAGGAGAAAATATCTTATTATGCCAAACAAGGTTGGTATTATTTTTTTAAAAAAGGGTTAAATTAAAAATTAATTTAGTATGTACGTATATTAACTTTAAAAATTAAAGCAAAAATGTTTATTTAAATGACCATTATTATTATTACTTAGGCGTTCTTACCTATGTTAACAATTTAAATTTAAATGGTTGCTAATAATAATGTTATTACATAGGTACTATTGTATAGTATTGATATTGTAACAATGCAGTGGCTCAAACATTAACTGTCACTGCTGGTAAGTTTCTGGAATGAAGATAAAAAATTTCTTAATATCTATTATACAAAAAGTGCTCTTTTAGTTCCACCCTTACTTCCTAAGAAGTCCCAGAAGCCAACTGAATGGCTTGTGCGGGTTAGGGGTAGGAACGGACCGCGGGCTTAAAGTCCCCTCCGAAGGACTAATATACAATAGGGCAAACACATATAAACAACCATACCCCTGGTGGGATTCGAATATACGACCTCTCGGCTTGTAATCAGCTGCACTGACCACTACTCCACCGTGGCCGGTGGTAATAATATTATTAACAACATACTTATTTGTAGGTACAACAATTCAAACAATAGATATACACCAACATCCTTGGGCAATTTTGGTGGTGACCCCTATAATGAGGAGGTGCCAAAAACTCAAGAGAAATCATTATTGTTGATTCTACTTGCAGTGTTGATGCCACTCATTCTACTCTCACAATAATGCTGACGGCATCAAAAGCTGGCGCTCTTCCTATATGTATGCTTATTCATGAGGGCCAAACTGAAGAGAGTTATAAGCAAGCGTTTGCATTACTGAAAAACTTTAATAATAAAGCCTTTGGTGAATGTGACGAAACACTTTATCATTTTACTTTGCATGTGAATATTACATAGTATTTTTGTGTATGACTGGTCATTCAACAGCAGAAAAAAATGCCCTGAAATTAGTATGGCCAGAATCACGACAATTGTTATGCCATTTCCACGTTGCCCAGGCAGAATGGCGTTGGTTAATGTCAGTGAAAAATGCAATTCAATTCAATTAACAATTGCTATACTGAAAGTAATATTGATATTCAAAAAAATGTGATGTTATTACAAGATAATTTAGGTCGTATTCATGACCTTCTACCTAGGACTGCAGTTACCAATAAATATTTATTTCAACTAAATAGACAATTATCAAAAATTACTTCTGATCAACAAGCATTACATTTTTTAATAGAAAGTAATAGCCTGTTCCGTAGAAGAAAGGGAGGTTTAATCAAGGTTCAACCTACATCAATATCAAGAGGACGTAATGGGGTGTCAAGGGGTGTAAAAGACTTAACAGTGGTCGTCCTTCTTTATCAAAAAACAAAAAAAATAAAAGGAAGCATAATCTTTCAGAAAATGTAAAAAAAAATATGTCAAATGCAATACTCCATTAGGAATTTAATTTTTTTTAAATAAATAAATTAATTAATACTGTAGAAAAGCTAAAAATACCTATAGGTAAGTATAATTAATAAACTTTAAGGTATTGTCTGTAGCTTATTTCCATAATAATATTGACTGTATGTCTATGTTTAATCTGTATATTCCCCGTTTAAACTCTAGGACTAGGTTAACTTTTAGGGCAGATTATGACCGTACTAATTTGTGTTAAAATCTCCAGTCCAAGTCATGACTAAAAATAATAATGAAATATCTTCAAAAATTAATAGTCCTTCGGTAACTTTATTGTTAAAGGAAGCTGATTACTTTTACAAAAATATCATTAATGTGTAAATGTCATTTTCATTTTATGTTCAGTGTACATATGAACCTATTGTACACTGAAAAAAGTCAGTATTAATTTTTAAGTTGTAGGTGAATTTGAGGCCAAACTTTTATTATTTAAAACACTGTCTATAAAAGTTAAGAACCGTAATTAATTTAATGAAACATTCAATATTATTATAATAAGTGTTTCCTAACATTTAACTCGTAGAGCATTTGGGTACATGAATTTAATGTAACCCTGCGTGTCTTTATTATTAAGACAATTTTCTTTAGGGTAAATATATAAACATTTATTTATATTGGAAGTACTTGTTTCTTTATTGTTATGAATTCAGGGATTTTATTAAATAATCAAGCTATTATTGTTATAGGTTATATAGGGATAAAACTATAATGCACAATGAATTTATTTTAACGTTAGTATTCGTTGCGTCATTGGTACGAGAGCCTCCATGCACTTTGTACGTTTTGTCGGTTTCGTGTTTATGGTAAAGAAAAAATGTCATGTAAGGAGCAACTGGAGGGTTTAGGTCTATTCCCAAATTCGAAGGTAAGTGTTTAGACCTCATGTAAATTAATTTGGGAAAGGTACATTTGTGATAGGTGACTCTTTTTTATTATTTAGAAGAAGCCATTACGCTTGAAGTGCTGCTAGTCCTCGACTCGCAAAGTGTTTTCCAACTTATTTCTAAATTAGGAGAGAGATTTGCAGTCATCAAAAAATTACAGAGTTACGAGATAAGCAGGAGCAATTAATGATCTTTTATCTGGTATAATTTTTGTTAACTGTTTTAAAGATGTGGTCAGAGTCGTTCGGCATTGGCCGTATGCGACAGTATTAAATTTCGGCCGATTAAGGTGCTCTGACCACAGCCTAAGAGTATTTATTTAGTCCATTTTGTATTTTTATATTCTATAAAATAGGATATAATAAAATTGTTTAAAAATATTATATGCACATTTTATTTCTCATCAATCAAACAAAAAGTATGAAATTCAGGCTATACATTAGTATACATTAGTCAAAAAAATTCTATAGTGGAAATGCAAAACGTTGCCAAATCAGCGGATTTTGAGATTTTGTTATTTATGTGGTCTGTACTTTTGTAACAATAAACATTTTTTTGTCTACTTAAAATTATTCAAGTGCTAACATAAATACAATTTTGATAAAACAAAAAAAAATAATACCCAAGTACATGTCTGCAGATCAAAACAAAATCTCGCAATCCGATAATTTGGTACTTAGTTTTGCATTTTCACTTTAGTACATATTACCCAAAAATGCTGTTTGCTAGCAGGCTCCAAGCATTAAATAATAAGACATTGTTTTAACAACAAATACATTTAACTTGTTTCAAAAATAAGCCTATTCTAGATGTTAAGGCAACTCGATGTTTACTTAAAGTAATGATGCAGTTAAAAATAACTCAACTAACTTTCAATATTTCAAATCCACCATGCATTTATATCAAATGCACGTTTCTTAGGCCATATCCGAACCCGTAACTACTTCACCACAAATGCATAGCGTTTATATTTAATGCTAAGTTTTTTCAGTGTATATTGTATAATTTTGTCCTTTAATTGGATGTAAATCTGTTGGCCGGGTTTTTCATAACATTAATCTTCTGTCAAATCTAAAAATTGACAGAATAAAATGTAAACATTTTTAAAAAATCTTCTGCATAGACTATTCAATATTTTTTTGATAACAACATTACTAGGGAATGCAATCTCGTTCTCGCGAGATCCCGTTTGTTTACTAGTAATAGTTGTCAACGTGATTGAGTTGATTGCTTTCGAGTATTTTTGTGGTTATTTATGTAAAAAAAGTTTCTTATGTGCTTTACGAGTGGAATAACGAACGCTGTCGGCGAATATAGTTTATAACGACTATGTGCACAGAAAAAAAAGTACATAATATTAATGTATTTTAATATTGTGACAATGTATGCGCACATGAAAATAGAGCCGATGCACAAATACATTATTATAATGTAAATGTTTCATTAATGCATTACAAATTACATTGAACAATGAAGAGTACATTGATATAATGTAACAGTATTCATTGGTCAATGTATGTCATACATTTATAGTATGTACCTTATTCATTCATATAATGTACCCTGTACATTGATATAATGCATCTTGTACATTGATATAATGTACCATGTACATTGATATAATGTACCCTGTACATTGATATAATGTACCCTCTACATTGATATAATGCACCCTGTACATTGATATAATGTACCATGTACATTGATATAACTATATATTGTTATAATTGACTGTGCGTTCCACGAAAGATTGGCGGTCTTAGGAATGTGATGCAATCCTTTATTTCTATATAACGGCCAACTTTTAATTATAATAATAATGCTAGGGTTTTCCATATA